ACTACTAAGAGCAACGACGCTACTAGCGGCTCCTGGCCTTACTACTAGGAGCAAGGACGCTGCTAGCGGCTCCTGGCCTTACTACTAGGAGCAAGGACGCTACTAGGGGCTCCTGGCCTTACTAAGAGCAAGGAAGTTACTAGCGGCTCCTGGCCTTACTACTAGGAGCAAGGACGCTACTAGGGGCTCCTGGCCTTACTACTAGGAGCAAGGACGCTACTAGGGGCTCCTGCCCTTACTACTAAGAGCAAGGAGCTACTAGCGGTTCCTGGCCTTACTACTAGGAGCAAGGACGCTACTAGGGGCTCCTGGCCTTACTGCTAAGAGCAAGGAAGTTACCAGCGGCTCCTGGCCTTACTACTAGGAGCAAGGACGCTACTAGGGGCTCCTGGCCATACTACTAAGAGCAAGGACGCTACTAGCGGCTCCTGGCCTTACTACTAGGAGCAAGGACGCTACTAGGGGCTCCTGGCCTTACTACTAAGAGCAAGGACGCTACTAGCGGCTCCTGGCCTTACTACTAAGAGCAAGGACGCTACTAGCGGTTCCTGGCCTTACTACTAAGAGCAAGGACGCTACTAGCGGCTCCTGGCCTTACTACCAAGAGCAAGGACGTTACTAGCGGCTCCTGGCCTTACTACTAGGAGCAAGGACGCTATTAGGGGCTCCTGGCCTTACTACTAAGAGCAAGGACGCTACTCGCGGCTCCTGGCCTTACTGCTAGGAGCAAGGACGCTACTAGGGGCTCCTGGCCTTACTACTAAGACCAAGGACGCAAAAATTTGGGACAGAGACCGTGGACACATGACGGCAGATGTTTTTTTTGCCTCAACCAGGCATCCGAGCCTGGGTGTGATGCCGCCAGCGACGGTCTTTGGTATGGTTGCGTTTGCTCCTCAGAATGGCTGAATAGACTCTCAGATGCAAAGACTCTCAGAGTCGACTGACTTGTGATTTTGGTCCGGTCAAGCGACCTGCAGATCTCATTTTAAACTGTAGGTGGTTATGAGCCGGCGATGGGACACCACCGTCATTCCACAGGCGAGTCACACGGCTCCACAGCATGCCATAATTGGCTAAGATTATGAGAGCCAAGCCAGCCACTGAATCGGGAAGTTTGTTGCCTACTCCACTAGTGAGTATTTTAACAACTGGCATGGTACGTACCGTTCTGAATGGTACGAGATCGCTCAAGATTCCAACTACTGTAAGCTCTGGCAATTGAAACTGAAGCTCAAGGATCTCAAGGGTATCTGACTGTGGCAACATCATGTGCCTGACTTGTAGACATTACCTACAGCAACTAGTTGCAACAACAGGGTCAACAAGAAATCACAAGTATCGACTTCATTCAATCGTGGAGTTTTTCGGGTCCACGTTTATACTCTAGACTCTAGCACATAGGCATGGGACACACACACACACACACACGTCTAATGTCATTGACACTTACTGTGCTGGACTGGAGTCAATGTGTCACATGCAAGTCGTTTTTGCAGGTCATGGCGCGGACTGCACCTGCGGAGGAGCAGCTCGACATGGCACTGCGAAAATTAGACGCTTGCCACCGCCGGGGCGCATAGCTAGAGACTAGACAACCGGACCAACTACGTCTTGACACTTGCAACTTGCTTGAGACTAGACATTGCAAGATGGGCGTGTTGCAGGCCTTTCACCGGGGGCATCTTTGCGAGTTCTTGGAGTCCGCAGTGGCCAAGCCACTGATGCTTGGGTGCTGAGAGTCCTTTATATAATTGAGTTGCGACACGCTTGGCAAAAGCGGTAAGGTGGATTGCCAATTATGCTCGGACTTAACTACCTTTGTTGATCCAAGACCGTACAAGAGAACGGGGTGAAAAGGGGAATCATTTCCCAGACTTAACGCATCTTAATGAGCAAGAAGCCTTTGGCCCCCGCATCCAGGAAAGCTTTTTCTGAAATCCATTCAATCGCCCCGGCTCAGGCTGCGCGTCCTTTCTAGAGTTTTCCTCCTGCCTATTACCAGCCTACCCAGCTTACCCAGCCTACCCAGCTTACCCTCCTCCATCCACTCCACACGGGAAGCCTAAACGTCGTGGTCAGTTGTTGAGTGTTAGGCCACAAGGCTTATCTTTTAAGCACGCCCTTACTTGATTAAGTAAGTGCCTACTTAATCAAGTGAGGGAGTTAGCTCCTAAGCTTCTAGTAAGTGGACGCTCGCACTAATGATTTGGTTCCTAGATTTTTAGGAAATTTAACTTCTTACTTCTGAGTCTTCTTAGTTCAGATCCGTTGAGTTCGACAACACTACTCGGTATTGTGAGCTTTTCACCGAAGTTGGAAGTTGGATGCCCAACTTCGAGGCTCCAGCACTGCCAGTGCACCACTCGCGAGTATGCTCCATCGTGTATACGCCTGCTGAAGGCAGAGTTGCAATGATTTCTTTGTGTTCTAACTCCGAGTGTCCGAAGATCCTACTGTAATTCTGCTCGAACACATTAGGGGCTTTCTCTGGCAGAGGAGTGACGTGGACTGCTCACACTCCAGTGCTTCACTGCATTGGCCCCAGCTGGCACGGGCACTTGCTAGCTGCTACCTTCTGAACACCTGTGGGTAGATATTACTTGGAGCAGGGTTTTGAAGGTGCTGCAACATGCTGCAGCTATATGCTTTGGGGGTACACTAGAACAGAGTGCTTTGGTGTCACACAGGTCATGGTATCCTACATATCCTCCCGAAGATTCAATGATTGACTGTGGAAGTGCAAATCAGGTGCTACAGAGCCGGGAACATGCACAACCACGCCATGCACGTTGCTGAGGATAAGCAATCACTAGCTTCAGCTTTGGGCTTTGCAGCTGCTTACTGATACTCGATGCAACCTTCGCCGAGGTGAGTGCCGAAAATCATCCGCCCTCACCTTACAGGTGTAAGTGTAGGTCAAATATATAATGTCAATACTTGGGGGTTGACCTCAGTGTTAAGCGAGGCCAGAACTTGAGAAACCGCTATCATACGTGTGACATATGACTCGATTTCAGCCAAGATGATTACTGTACTGTATATAAATAGACATAGAAGTCAGTGTTGTGGTCCCGAGGACAGGAAGTTGGAGCTTCGCACTCCTCAGGCTGGCCAATGCAGCTTAAGTGACCAAAGCACTAAAGCAGTCCAGCACTAAAGAGTTTATATAGATTAAAGATATGTCTAGCAATTGGCAACTTGGTAGGAGCAAGGACGCTACTAGGGGCTCCTGGCCTTGCTACTAGGAGCAAGAACGCTACTAGGGGCTCTTGGGAGTGACATTATTTAGGATCCCATCAGATCCCTGAGTAGCAAAGAGACCCGGATGAAGGACTCAAGGAGAGGGAGAAAGATTCACCGCCAGGGGCGAAGATGCTGGGCCTGCTCTGAAAGTGGCAAAGAGTACACCTTCAGAGTTCGGCTCTTGGACGAAAGTCGGTAACCAGGTGTGACAAGTATAACTTATATAGACAGGCATTTGCGCAAAAGTGTCGGACACTGATCACCAGCTTTGTAGGTTTTCAGTGTAGTCTTTGACCAATTGGCTGGACTGATTTGCCATTAGTTGACAGGTTGGATCCTTTTGACTCGCAGCATTTGCTTGTCGGCAGACATGTCAAGCTTTTGTCAGACATTGTGCTTCACACTGAAAGGTGAATTCACTGGCAGAACACATGGAAGGGCAGTCTGTGTCATGGTGGCCACCGTGCTACCAGCTTGTTTCTTTGGGTAGTTGCAGTCGGTAGATATTATAATGGTGGTACAAGGGCAGCAAAGGTGTCCAACGCAAAGTTATTTTGAAGAAGGACAGTGATCACAAAGCGTTTCTCTGATCGTCTTCAACATTCTTGGTACTGTGAAGAAGGAGGAATGCCAGCGAGCCCGAATAGATTCAGTGGCAGTCTTTAGTACTGTTGCTTTGGTCCAAGAAGAAGCGATAGAGAATATCGTACTAGATGGATATTTGATGATATTTGAACATTCCTTTCTCCTTTGTTGACTCCGGCACCGTTCCAACACCGACTTTGGTTAAAGTCAAAGCAATACTCCCATCACACATGAAGAGACATCAGTTGAACAAATGTGCAGCAAGCAGCATTGCCAGGTATGGAATCAACAGTCCACCAATTCTTTGGATCTTCATGGACCGCAACCGTGTGAAAGGGAGGAGGAAACAGCATGAAAAAGCACAGACTCCAAGGAAAACCCCATTGGAAGGGCTGGGTTTTGCATGGCAGGATAGCGAGAATCATGGCTGCTAGACACCAAACCTTTCTTGTCACCCTTTGCTGCTTCTTGTTCACCTGCGTTGGTGTTGATGTCGGAGGCACCTCAATTTTGCGTGAAATGATGGAATCGAACACCCAAAGAGTGTGCGAAACACCAAAAATGGAAAGACGTGGCTTCAGTTTGCTCGTTTGACGCAAGAGATTAGAGGCAGCACTTTTCATCCAGATCACAAAGCCTGAAGCACCCACAAGCTTTCAAGCTTCATGAAACAAAAGGCAGTCCTGGGTTAGCCTGTGTCCCCCTTTGTTCAATAACATTGTAAGAGTCTGGTGAAGCTAGTGTGAGGGAAGGTTTCGAAGGTTTGGCTGAGACGAGAGAGCTGTTGATGGTTTGAAAGTCGTCCAAACAGCAAGTTGCACAACAAAGGCCAACTTGTTGGGAATTCGGGTTTGCAACAATGTGCTAGGTTTCGAGACTGCAACAAAAGAGGCCCGAGAATCAATATTGTAGTGCAAAATATTGCAATCCCCGCCACGTGTTTATCCAGCTTGCACCAGGAGGCGCGTGTCATGACCAGACATTGAAACCCACGTGACATTTTAAGACAATCTACCATATACCAAGAAGCAAGTAGAAACAAGTGCCACGCTAGTAGTAACAGGTGCCTTACTAGTAGTAACAAAGAAGCTATTAGAAACAAGAAGCTATTAGTAACAAGTGCCACACTAGTAGTAACAAGTGCCTTACTAGTAGTAACAAAGAAGCTATTAGAATTAACATGCATATTTTGATGATAAAATTCTTGGCCTCCCTGATTCTTCAGGATTTCTGGGCTGTGGTGGAGGGATGTCCTGTCATTGCTGGCTACATGTTCCTCTTCTTCTGCTGTCTGCTGATCCGCAAGTCAGAGGAGCAGGGAAGGGCTTGCGCACTTTGTGTTGCTTTAAGTCGAATTCCATTTAGTTTACGTTACCAAAGCATCTAGGAACCAAATGAATAGCGTGAGCTATGCAGCGTCTAGTTACTAAGAGCGTCCAGTACCTAAATCTTTCTATAGCTTACCTCTTCTGGCGGCCTATACCCTATGCACAAAATGCATCACATGTTAAGTTTCCCTAAGTGCGAGCGCTTCTTCAACCCCACCCTCAGCCCAAGGGAGCTTCCTTGAAGAAGCGTGAGCTATCCTGCTTCCAGTTATATACCAGGCACTTAAGTAGCTCGTGGCTTACTCCCTTACCTAGGACCTAGTAGCTTACTCCCTTACTTAATTATACTCAATTAAGTAGGCGCCTACTTAATTAAGTAAGGGCGGGCTGAAAAAGGCTAAACAAAGGGAAGAAAGTTGCATCCGCCACAAGGAGCTTAGTGGTGGCTTGATTCCTTGGACACGCTGCGTTCCAATCTTCGGCCCAGCCTTAAAGCGTGGTGAGGCAGGTTGGGGTTTGCATTGCTGTTTTCTCGAATGTAGCGGGGGGGGTGGAGGGGGTACCGGGTAGAGGGGTAGGATCCCTCAAAATCATGATCAAGCAGCATACGTGCATCTTTTGCATACAAGAATCTCTTCCCAAGAAACAAACGCAATGCCTTCAACTTGCACCTTCAAGAACCTGATAGTGAGCTATGCATAGCAAACGGGACTCGAATACATGTTAAGTTTCCCTAAAAATCTAGGAACCAAATCTTTAGTGCGAGCGCTTCTTCAACCCCGCCCTCAGCCTGGGGGAGTTTCCTTGAAGAAGGCTGAGCTATCCTGCATCCCAGGTGGTAGCTTACTTATATAGGCTACTAGCTACCTCTTCGAGCGGCCTACCCCGCTTAAAACCATCAAAATGTTTGTACCCGGCCAGGTGTGGCGCTTCTTTACCTTCACCTTTTTCCACTTGCAGTTTCTGGACCTTTTTCAAAACCTTCTTACTTTGCTGGACACTCTGGATGTGGAGGCCGCCTTGCTTGCCTAACTTCCAGACACTCCACAGTTATGGAACATCCTCGATCAAGTCAAGTTGATATATATATATATATGTGTGCATATATATAACCAATCACATGTCCTGCCGCCAGAGTTCAGAATTGCAGTCCACCAAGGACACTGTCAGCCTCTATCAAGTTTTCCTTTTTTGGCAAATCTAGGTAAGTTTTACTAAGTTTTGCTGGGTTGCTAGGGCACACCTCCCATCATTCTGGGTGATGGCTCCAACTTGAAGTGTGGCGTCACCTGGCAAGCATTTTGAGCACGGGCTGCCGTTGTTGCATGCACTGGAAGGATTTGCTGCCATCGTGTTTGTTGTTTCTTTTGGTATTGGCAAAGATGGTAACACAAAAGTAAATATGAGCCAGAAAAGAAAGGTGGATTGATGTAAAGTAGTATTGTGGGATCCTTCGTTCAGAATTCCACGCACCGCCGCAGCTATTTCTGATGTTTTCTGTCTTTGTGGAATGTGTTATTTAGTTGGGGAACGACCCTCCGGACGACATCCAAAACGACATTGGAACGACCTCCTTAACTACGTACATCATGTATTTGCTGCTGCTGCTGCTCTTGCTCCTCTTGCTCCTCCTGCTCGTGCTGTTGCTCCTGCTCCTCCTGCTGCTCCTGCTCCTTCTGCTGCTCCCGCTCCTCCTGCTCCTCCTGCTGCTGCTGCTGCTCCTTCTCCTGCTGCTGCTGCTGCTGCTGCACTTTCGATGGACAGTATTTAGCCAGATTTCTCGGCGAAAAAACGACCTCTGAACGACGTCCGCATTTCAGTCAGAAGGACCACTACTACTGACTGGTTCTACTACACTACTACTACTACTACTACTCCTGCTGCTGCTACTACTACTACTCCTGCTGCTGCTACTACTACTGCTGCTGCTGCTGCTTCTGCTGCTACAACTAGTACTACTACTACTACTCCTACTACTACGACGACTACTACTACTACTTCTACTTCTACTACTACTACTACTACCTACTAGTTACTACCTACTACCTACTACTAACTACTAACTACTAACTACTAACTACGACGACTACTACTACTACTACTGCTGCTACTCCTCCTCCTCCTGCTGCTGCTGCTGCTACGGGTACGGCTACGGCTACGGCTACTGCTACTGCTACTGCTCCTCCTCCTCCTCCTACTCCTACTCCTACCCCTACTCCTTTGTACTCCTACTCCGACTGCTGCTGCTGCTGCTGCTGTGTTTTTTGTTATTGGTACTACTACTACCGCTGCTACCATGGTTGCCGCCGTCACCACATATGAAGACCGCCGCTGGTAAATCATACGATTTGCTGTTGGGATCATGATTTTCGTACCATTTTTTTCAACCTCATATGTAGGGCGAGCTTCTTGTCAACCCTGGTTGAACAAGTTGAATCCCATCTCTTGTTGGAACAAAGCCATAACAAGGTAAGAGAATTGGTAGTTGACCATGCTGGTCCAGGTTGGTGCGAAGCAAAACTTCATGTGCTATCCCAGCATTGGTCACGGACTAAGCTGAACATTTTTGTTTTTGCTTTAGATCTTTAAACCTTTCTTTTCTTTGTTTCTTTTCTTGCTAATTCCAAGGCTTGGGATCGACGCACACCTTGGGTGTGTCCTTGGTAAGTGCAGCGATCGGGGGTATGTGCAGCACCTGGGTGAAGTTCAGCGATGTTGTTGCAGGCACACAGGAAGACGTGGGTTGACGGTTCATATGTTGACGACTACTCCTTTCCAAAGCAACCGGAACCGACCATGCGACCAGTAAGACCTGCCCAGAATATGCAACTCATCGTGTAGAACTAGTTTGAAGTGACATACTCCAAGTTCATTGACTCAAAGATACTCTCAAAGATATATCAGTAGCTGCTACTCATAGATGCTGGTGCTAGTATCCTTCATGCTTGATACCCACAATTTGCATGGCATCAACTTCTTTTTTGCAGTGCTGCAACGGCATGTGTCTTCCATGGGTCTGAAACAAGGTAAGCCATTAGACAGTTTTCTTGATATTGCTTTGCAGGATCCTTCTCGCTTATTCTCCTTGGAAGCTGGAACTGAGGTTGTATTCAGCATATCGAAAAGACAAACGAATATTGGCAATATTATCCAATGTGTACCACATTTCTGTTCTCACCAGGAAATTCATTGCCGTGGACGTTGGCATCATGTTGTACTTTTCATGTCAAATGAACCCTTCATTGTTGCAGGTGCATCTGCCCTTGGCTTTGGGCTGTCTGGTGCCATTGTCGCACTCTATGCGCTGTATGCAGGCCTTTGTTGTGGGCTGCCTGGACTCGTGTATACAGATCTACAGAGATACGATGATATACAGATGTATATACTTGATGTTTGAACCCGGTTGACTATCCAGGAATGTCAGGTCAACAAACATGTATCATAAAGATTCAGAAAGCACAGCAACTAGCTCTGTCATTGTTCACCTTCGTTCGGTAAGCATATTGAATTGCGTAGGCGCGGACTTGGACTCAACCTCAAGCGTTCAACGCAGCTTCAAGGACATCCTACTGTAGACGTTTTTCAACCAGGCTTATTGCATGTTGCAGCACAAGGCACCAGAGCATGGCTGTCTCGGAAGAGCTTTGGTCATAGAAGTCAGTTCATGTGGCCCTGCCCTTTTGGATGCCCGTTGAAACACGCTCATTGCACTCTGAAGGACTGGGTATGGCTTCGGTTGATATTTGTTGCCTTCCACATTGCGATGGAGTGGGCTGCTGAGACTGCTTGGCAGATTGGACTACATACATATACAAGCATATACACACATCATAATACATAATCATACCAGATTTGTCAACTCGAGCTTTGTACCTTGCAACCTGATATTGTATTGTGTCTAGCTGCCAGCCAAGAGGTTTTTGTCATGCTGTTTTTTGGAGGTTTGTGCGGGGGATGTCCCAGAGGGACATTGCTGGACTTTGGGCACATACCACTGCCTTCATCAGCGGCTTTGCGCGAGGGGCTCAATGATGAGGGGAAGCACGATCTCTAGACTCCATTCTTCTGCAACACAACTTTGTGTTCCGTGCAGAACATTGGGAACCTTTGTTCATTGCCCTCATCTTGACTTAGGCTTAGTACATCCTTGGCCATGTTCAAAACATTCATCATCTCATCGGAGACATGTCAAGCTCTTGTTTCTTTTTCCCATTGAAAGGGTTTCATGTTTCATGCTCAGTTTTTTGATCAATTAGACTCATGCTTATGCTGTTTTCAGAGCGTAGCTCGAAGAGTCATTTTTGTTGGCCAATACAGCAATTTCAGAGGACACAACTGACCTTGCATTCACGTCATATCCAACCTAGAACATTCGGGACAAACATCATTATTGAGAGATTTGGACTTTTTTTTTCTCAAGCGTTCTTGTAAACATATTCTCGATGCGACTCTCTCTCTCTCTCTCTCCCTCCCTATGTACTGTTTGAAACAGAGGCTTTTTGTGAAGTCATTTTTGAGATCCTTATTTATCGCAATTCTTTACTGTTGAGCTCCTCCTTGAGGTACGTGCTGTACTTTTTGCCCCCCATGGGCGACGGCACGCTGCTCTCCGCTGAGCGGCCCTACGTTGTGGCTTGTGCTTATGCAACTTGGTTGAAGACCAGTAGCCCCAAGGGGCTACTAATTTCGGACAATACATTGTCTAACGAATCTGTAGTGGCACTCCACACCTCACTTCCCAAAGCAAGTCCAACTTACTACGTGAATCGTGACGACAAGGGGCATTTAGTTGCATGTACGCAGCTGTTTGGGCAGTGAATGGAAGTCAAGTGGAGTGAACCAATAGTTTAAAAGCAACCCATGTCCAACTACATTAGTGACCGTAAATAACATTACAGCTTTGGTCCTGAGTGTGTTCGAGCACCACTATTCAATGTATATTCAATGTACAACAATTGAAGGACCATGCTACGCTAGACATGATGTTTGAGAACCCATTTGCCAAGGACAGCAGTGGCTTTTCATCCTCAGCTCTGATCTCAATGCCGTTTCAATGAAACATCTTTACTATGGTTCGACGTTGTCCGGTGAATACGTATAATATACATATATATATATATATGTCAGCTTGTTTGACAACTGGTGCTGCAGAGCTGGTGCTGAACTATTTGCATCTATTTGCAAGTGTCCCTCAGTTCCCTTTAATGATGATATTTCTGCTTGTGCAGGCACCGGAATGCGTCCGGCTTTTCTCTAGCGTTTACGAGTACCAGGCAGGGCGACAGCTTGTCTTCAACTGCCCCATACCTGCGTGACATTGCAACCAACATCATCGACAGGTGTCTGATGTCCAGCGACAAGCATTCCTGTTTTTCTCCACTGTTATTGGCTGGACTGCATTCAATGCAGCCTGGCCCTGGGTTTTCTGCACATGAAGCTTGACCTCCTGCTTTGAGAAAGACTGTTGGAGTGATGTTTTTCAAACTGAACCACCACCACGTCGATATAGTTCTCAAATGACCACTTTCTGAGCTTGACGGACCTTTGAGGTCGTACTTCAACGAAGAGTAAAATCCACTGACGCAGCGGGAGCTGGCATGTTTGTGCAATGTTGCTCCAATGATTTTGCAGCTCTGAACACTCAGATCAAATGCATCCAAATGCTAGCACGTCAATTTATGTCAGATTTAGACTTGCCCTTTGCAAACACTAGCTCGGTGCCTCTCGCGTTCAGAAGCGCTGCAAGCAGGTGCTCCTTGCCGGATCTGAAGTCAGTGCAGTTTGCTGTAATCGTCAGGCCCGAAGTCCGTCAACATTTGAGATTGGTATGGGTAATCAATCGACAGTAGCGGATGGCAGCAACTCCGCCCCCCAAAGTAGGCCAACTTGGGTTGGCTAATCAGTTCCTGATGATGCCGGTATAGTATATCGCCTTGAAGACTTGCCTTTTACTCTTGCTCCAGGGCAAACCAGGAGGAGATGGACTGGCTTCCAATATGGAAAGCAAGGACGCACACTCTGTCTTCTGACTTGATTAATCATGCCCCATACACTCGTGCCATGCACCGCCACTGTGGCTACTGCCTCGAGCTGTACGTTGTTAGTGTTGGTGATGATGAAGAAGATGAAGAGACAGACGAGGAGCAGGATTAGGATGATGAGGATGCGGAGGGCATTGGGCACGTTGTTGATGCACTTTTGACATTGACTTGCAAGAAAGACCTGCTGTCCAGGAGGTTATCCTCTGGTGTGAGGCAACTTGTCCTTAATGAGTTGGAGGGCAATCGGCGACTTATATATATATATACCCTTTCCAAGAAGCCGGGCAAGTTAACTTTAGCGGCTTTAGCGGAAGACTAAAGACGAAGAGAACTGGCCACCTTTTTCTGGGTCTGAAGCAGAGAGAAACAGATTCAGTTGCAGAATGAGATAGGGTGGGCCTGAAAAAGGCGGAAACTAGACCGTGACATAGGTGCTGCTCTAAACTGAGATCCCTTTCGAAACATGCCAGGCTAAACAACTCAAATGATCTCATGTAGCGTGCTACATGAAACGGATTGTGTTGGGGACGGACATGAGAGCACTCACTAAGCTTATTGCATGGTTGCTTATTGCTTATGTCATTCTTTTGGCCACTTGATTGGATTTTCCCACATATACGCACGTTCTTTTGTGCAGACTGTGTGCGTGTACAACATTCCTGACATATCACATTGTATGTAATACAGCGCTGGCGCACAGCGAGCACGGAGTCTTGTCTCTTTCATCGTTAGTTTAGGGATGACTACGGCTTGGGTCGCACGGTAGAGCCTTTTGTTGCAGGGAGTTGAGAATTCAGATTCTATGTTTGTCTCATATTGTTGATCATTGATCCCTATCAATCCATTCACCAATTCACCTGCTTATCTTCGCAAGAAAAACTGCCATCGGGGACCGGTGGGACCGGGGATGTTTTCTTTCGTTCCGTACCGACCAGTTCTGGGCAAAGTCTGCTATTTGGTTTGCATGTAAGGAATATTTGGTTGCAAAAGAACCAGTTCCCTTAATTATGGTACTTGCCTAGGTCCAAGGACGTACAACCCCAAAACAAACGGTTGCAGCAGCCAGAACAGAATGCATGAAAACAACTCATGCCGATTAAGCATGAATGCAAAGCATGGCTTTGATACGTATGCTTGATGCGCAAGCCAACTGGCATTTCTTTTGCTTGTTGCGAGGTGCTTGCTACTGTCGGCTGGCGGCCTCCCCCGGCCAAGCTTGCTGAGTTTTGTTGGCCAGCCCTGGATGCTCAATTGGTGGTAGCGGCGTCAGAAATCGCCAGAGAGACAGACAAAAGAACAGACAGAAGCCCACAGCCTCGGAATATCATAGAGATGTTAAAAACCCTGCACAAGTCCGTCACTCAGTCACGCTCATTCACCTACCCTTCAGTCCAACAGTCTCCAACAAAAAGATCAACAAGTTGATATGTTTGTTGATGCTCCCTGCAGGATTTAGAAAGAATCTGAATGGCACCTAAAAGATAACTGGGTTGTGAAACCTTGCACATATTGCACAGCTTATAGCCTTCATGAAAGAATTGTAGCAAGCCAAACACCACCCGGAACTCAATATACCCGCAGCATCCCACTGCATGAAAGCACTCTCGATCTTCCTACACTAGCCGCTAGTTAGCATCATATGAGGTTGATTCGGTAGGGAGTAACTTCCAGTGTTCTTGCTCGCAACATAGAGCGCAATCAATGTAAACCAAGTGAACATCCTTGAGTTATGATCTCCAGTGAGGTTGAATTTTGCAGTGCTCGCCAGGGTACAGAAGAAGCTGAACGAAAGCTGGTGGCAAGGTGCATCAATCAGGACCCTTCACACAGCCAAGGAGAGCAGCCTCTCAGGGTGAACTTGATTGATGTTTAAAAAAGAGCTGGACCAGCAGGAGGATTGTTGGACCTTCCAGCAGAAGCAGAAGCTGGCTCCCACAATGTAGCAGGCGCTTCCGGATGTCATTTGTAGATTTGCAATGGTCTGCAATGTTTTGCTCAATTGCCCATTGGCTTTGAGGCAAGGATCTCATGAGCTTCAGAGAGAACATTTTCCTGCCTGTGCTGTTCAAGCCAAAGGGCAGCTACATCCAGTTTGTGCCCAATCGATCCCAATTGAACGGATATCATCACTTTCGCTGTAAAGCGCTCCTCGCAGCTGATTTCACGAATCTTTTGGTGGTGCAGTTTGCGCAGGTACTGTATGATTTGGATCCCCAGAAGAAGCCCATCGCCTTTGCTTCTATCACTCTTTCGCAGGCGTGGGAAAGGCAACTTGTAAACCAAGCTGATGTTTGAAGTTTGTCGAGATTCAGCAAGCTTAATCAGAGTGACTAGCTTCAGTTTTTTTGAAGACTGCATTGACACATAGGTGGCTGCAGTCATAAATACTATTTTCAGATTGTTCTTCTTCGAGTAGTACCATAGAAATTATTTATTTACAGATACACAACATGTTCTCGATGTAACTTGATTCTTCAATTTCGAGTATATCAGAAAGTTGCGCTTGCTTGGGCTTGGCTCTCCTTGCCTGCACTGCAGGCACTACGCTCAAAGGGTGGCTCACTTGCAATGTCTCTGTGAGTTTGCTTGAGCTCTCGGGGTCTTCAGGGTTGAATCTGAAATCTCCAATCAGACGAACTGTTGGCACTTGCGCTAAAATGGTGACAACACATGAAATCATACGGATGTCACACACGTATACGTCCTTTTCACCTTTTGTTTGCTGCGACACTGGGTACACAGGGGAGCAGGTGCATAGAGCTAGACAAGCTGCAAGCTCACCAAAACAACCTGTCCTTGCTTTACTGATATTTCTGCTGCTTGAATTTCAAGTCGCAGACTAAACACCTAATTACTGCCAAGATTTGCTTTTGTAAGAAGTTCACAAAACATGCACCACAAACCTGGCTGAGGTGAACAGAGAATGAAACTCCAGCCCATGGAGAGTGCAAAAGGCTCCTGGCCGAAGGCTGGGGCCGCTGGGATTTGCTCAGCAGATGTTGCTCCAGATATGGCCCCGCCTCCTTCAAAAAACAGTTATGATTTGCAAACCATTGCCATTTGCAATCTGCTTTGACATCTCGGGCTTTCGTTGGGTCAAATAGAAAAATGCTCATGCATTTCAAAGCCTTTATAGTCAGATTTGCTGGGACCCTTCTTTCCAGGCCGCATCAGGCTGTTTGCCTTGGCGGCTTTCACCACAGATCATAGTGAAATTTAGGCCTGAATCTGAATTCAGTTGAATTGTACTGGACGTTTTTTTTGGCTGTGAAAGTGCAGGAGTGGGCAGCGCTTCCTTGGTTCTGTCATGATGGGGCAACCGAGGTATATTGAAGCCTTGAAAGCTATTGAGATCAAAGAAACAGCAACGGCCTTGGATGTCATTGAGTCATTGAGTAATCTTCAGTGCCAAGCAGCAGTTGACGGAGACAGGCAAAGATTCGACTTGAATTTATGAAAGAAGAGATCCGAAAAGCGGAAGAGCAGTTGGTATAGCTGGCAAACTTAACCACTATTGTCTATTGTCTAATTACATCAAGTTGTGTCAGTTCAATAAGTCTTGATGCCTTGCCTTTCCGCAGTGAGCCATTTGCCAGGATGACTTACAAAAGCAGAAAGCTACCCTTGAGCAGGAACCTGAGAGCTGACAGCTGAAGGCGCCAAGGGTGAAAATGGTGAGTGCCTTGCGGCTGGCATTAGGACTTTTGAGCTTGCATACATTCTGCCTTGAAGCCATGCCGGGCACCCTTTCCAGCATGTTTCAAGCCAACGCATGCCAAAGCTTGGACGTTCCAAAGGAAATCGCAGCACCATCACTGATCTTGAACGCGCTTTCGTGACAAGCCGCGAGAATGAGAAAAGAATAACACCATCAACTTTACTTACAACTTGCAATGCAAGCACAGCAGGAACACTGGCTCCAGGTCAAAGGAGAGATGCAATTGATGCCAAACAAATTACTGTATATAAATGAGAAAAACATGAATGATGTCATAAAGTGACATTGTGCTTTTCAAGCAGCACGACCGGAGGGGGGCCTGTTCAGACAAAAGGCTCAGTGTGTGTGCCTCTTGAGGCCCGTCATGCTAACAGTTCTGCTTTTCAGCCGCGAAGTTCTGCAGCCTGGCTCCCCAAGCTTTGGCGTTTCAAGCGAATGAACGACGATTCAGCCAGAGATGACATCCATGAAACGCTTTCCGTCGGAACTAAAAGGCTTCCCCTCTTCTACAAGAATCCCCCCCAGCGCCGTCATCCGCTATGCGACGTCAGCCACCCCAGCGACAACGTTCACTAACAGTCACTAACAGGCAGAAGTCCAACGTTGCCTCCGACAACCTGCTTGTGGCCTGTATTCGGAAGTGTCCGAAAACCCTGGACAATAATTGAAGGCCGACTCGACTCACTTTCCCTTTTTGTGCTCGATCCATGTACGTTCCATGGCCTCATGCACCACATTTTCTCCATATTGTTTATTGTTACAAGCAGCAGTGCGAGTGCGTTTCGCAACCTCTCGTTCCACTCCCCCATAGAGCTGCAGTACCGAGAATGCGCTGTACCTGTCCTGTGTATAGGGAATCGCGTTTTCTGGTTCAGGAGCAATTTGAATTACTGTATGTCGGGGCGTGTCTAACCACTTGGCTGCTGTTTCGAGCCCAGCCAATGTGTCCCAAGCCTTGTAGCTATTCTGGAGGGGTCCATCACGGACACGGCCGAGGTGGCAACTAAGTCACTGGAAGAAGGGGTTCATGCCTGAACCATATGCCCCATGAACGCGGAAATATCCTTCCATGGCAGCATATGAGGTTTTATTTGCGTGCCGTTCCTGCTGCAGCTCCGCCCCAGCTTTGCCCCTGGTCCTTCCGCCTCACCAACTCAGCTCGCCTCAGACGGTATGGTCGCTTGCTGGCCCAGTGTTTGTACCGTCTTGCCCCCTGCCGTGGTCTTTTGGCAGTTCCGGCCGCCAATTTTTGTGAGCTGTTCGTCCCGCGTGTGGTGGCACGACATCGGTCGGTGGTCATCCTGCCTCCGCTGATTCAGCCGGCCGTGGAGACGCACAAGCAGCTTATGCTCTTTTTGCTCAGCTGATGTGCAGCCTTCCGGCTGATGTTGGCTATGCCATTAGTCAGATTGCAGCTGGATGTAATCCTCTCCTCTCCTCTCCCACATTGTCATCGAATCTACCCTTGTGATCCTTGTGGGCCACTTCATCAACTTGTGGATACGCACGATCCCTAATGACGGCAGCTCCAGCGCCTCCCGTTTCACCACCTCATGCGCCTCATCGCGCTTTGCTCCAAGTTGGAGTGGTTCGCACCTGAGCCAACAATGGCCTTAGGCAGGGCTGCCCTAATCAGCCTCAGTCTTGTTGCCTACTTTGGTGCACTGTGTTCTTTTCATCTGGGCACGTGTGCAGCAGCCCCAAATGCAGGCGATGCCCCAACCAGTGGTGTCGCCGCTGAGAGTCTTCTCCTTCATCTCCTGACCCTGACTGCGCATCAAGGAGCGGAGAGGCACCGGAATAACATTTTTAACCATTTGATAATCCTCAGACTTTTCTCCACGGGTTAGGCGTCAAAAAGAAAACACATGACATAGTACCCGACAGAATTACTGTACGTCAGCAGTAGTCTTTGGCCAGACATCGTTTTTTGATGTTTTTTTGAAAAAGTGATTTGACTGCAAAACATTGCAACATCGATAGGGGCCCACCCAAAACCGATACCCTCTAACATGGGTGATGGCCCACCCAAAACCGATACCCCAAAGAGGTAGATGTATACAAAAAGTTGAGACCGATAAGGTACCACCCAAATACATGCAAAGAGATGCTGAAACCTGAAAACCGATAGGGGCCCACCCAAATTATAGACGTTCTTTGCGGGTAACAAGTAATATTGTCCGACACACATATATATATATATATATACATACACAGTATATATACTGTACACATAAGTAGTATCTTTGCCGCATGCCCTGGAAGATTAACACTGAACCTGAAAACCACTGGTTGATGGAGGAAGCTAGTTCCAAAGGTCCATGTTCAGGTCCCATGCTACTGATCCCGGCACACATGTGAGAGCACACGCAGACACACACTGGGGAACACACACACACACACACACATACGTGCGCGCGCACACCAGAGCACACATAAAGACAACATTTGCACACAAAGATTGACATCGCGCAGCCCTGCCAGTAACACTTGTTGTCCAAAGTTGACGGTTCACTCCACTTAAACGAATCAGAGCATGCCAAAGAACACATGCCGTGAAGAGTCACTTCGGACCGCCAAAATCCGAGGGTTCCTTTTTGCCTGCCACAAAGAGCGACCACCAAGTCCACCAATGTGCACGGCGCCACAACGAGAACGTAGTCACTGAGGCAAGAAAAGCGTCCGCTCGAGCCCTGCAGTTTATGTGAGCCTGTGGCCTGTGCTGTTCAAGTGCACTTTAAAGATACCAAGAGGCATGAGTGTATTGTAAGCAGCAGCGAATTAGCCGCCCACGGACGTGAGTGCACTTGATCAAACCCAGCCTTGAACCTTACCGTAACAATCCCTGCCCTAGTGTGACCACACTTTCGGGGAATCAACAAGAAAGTTGATTAGTGTTTAAAAGCTTGTTTGGTTCCTTGGTCCCCTGTTGCCCCCTCGTTCCTTTCGCCGGTCTGTCGGTCATCCCTTTGTGGTCCTTAGGTCCGTTAGCCTTTTGTCACCTTGGTCTCCTGGTCGCCTGGTGCCTTGGTCCACTGAGTCCACTGGTCCCGTTGCTCCTCGTTCCTGGTCGTTTCAAGTCTGCTTGGCTTGGTGTCCTTCTTGCTTTGGTCTTCTGAAATCCTCATTACGGATGCTTCGACGGAGCAAGCGTAGGTGAACAGTGAAGAGTTCTTATGGGTTGGAAAGTCCGAAGGTTGAGCCGGACTCAAATCCCGCGCAGGTCTTCCGCGACAGGAGGTAGAAGTCCCTTGTTCGACCATTTCAGGGCAAAGTGAGGAACAGTTGCGCCCTTACGCTATGGTGAACCAATTGATTGTATCGTTTAGAGCAAGAACGACCGCACAATTCCAACCTTTGTTTTTGGTCAGCTGACCGACCTCGACAATGTGCCAAGACCTTGGACACCCATTGGACCAACCCACGGCAAAAGTAAAAACCGGACGGAATCATGCCATCCTCAAACCAGTGAACCAAATCGGCGCAAACTTCATACCACGCCATCACGCTTTTCTTGCCTGCTACTGCTGCGTTTGCTCGGCTCGCGCTCTTGTTTCAGAGCAGTCTTTCGCAGGCTCTTTGTGCTCATAGATCGGGGGCACTGCGCCCGCTGCTACGCAAGACCATTTCAACTTTACACATAGGTTGGCGATGCAACCAAGAGCAAAACTCTTGGAACATTTTGGAGCAGGAACAAGGCATGCCAACAAGTGCGCCCTTTTGTGACCCAGATCTTGCACGCCGTTTCGTGCGGCGCGTGTGTAGGGGTTTTGTTGTTACCTCGGTTGCGCTGGTTGCCCGGTCCGCGCTGGTTAGCGGGTGGCCGCGGCTCCTTCGCTGTCCAATGCTGTTTTGTAGGGGTTCGTTGCTGCACTGCGGCGAAACTACGTCTCTGATGTCGGCGTGTGACGGCGTAAACGCAACGTGTCGTTGGTGAGCGCGACTCACGCCTACCAAGTTGCCTGCGGCAATTTGCGCACCGGCACCGCGCGTTTAAGACGGGCGGCGGCGCTGGTCGGGTGCTGGCGCCGCTCCCGGTGTTGTCAGCTGGCAAATCGCACCGGTGCTGGTGTCAGCTGGTTGTGCGCGCTGCGGAGGTGCCGCAAGCTGGCTTTGCAGGCTGCGTACATTCTTGTTCCAGCCAGTCGCATGTCAACAGGTCGTGGGATTCTGCCTAGCTATCTGGTGTATCGGTTCGCTGGCAGCATGCAGGAACATGGCCCTTGCGGATGCACAGTGCAATGAGCTCATCTACGGCAGCAGTTGCATCTGTTGAAGGGAAAATGTAAGATCCGATGGCGTGGACACGTGGCGCTAGGCCTGAGAGGCGTAGACGTGGGGTGCCAGCTGAGGCGTGGCCTCTGATGTTCCAGGCTGCTGCTGGTTGCGTGTGTGTAATAGTGCTGGTGTGCAAGTTGGTGTTGACACCCACTGGACTGGCTCGAGCCCGGCTGGATCCCCGCAGGCGTCGGGGTGTGTGAGGGATTGGTCAGCCAGGTGGAGAGTGAAGTGTTCATTGTGTGCGATGACGCGGACGTCAAAATAGCAGTAGTAGTAGTAGTAGTAGTAGGTGAAGAGCCGCTGGGTGTGATCAAGGGGGTTGGCTTGGATTGGAACTGATGCCAGGCGTGTTCAATAAAACGATAACAACATTGCAGAGTGCTGGAAACCAAGCCCCTCGGATTTCTTCGAGAGTGGTGTTGCCAGCGTGTGCCAGTGCGGAAAACGCATGCACCGAGAGCAAAGGACACAGTGCGGGATATGTCTTCAGTGTCGCGTGTTCGTTGTGTGGGGTGGCTGCGGTGGCGGCGGCTGCCAACGTGTATTGGATGGTGTTGCATGTGGCTGTGGTGTCAATGGTGATAGTCCGAGTGTCACGGACAAGTAGCTCGACATGTTGTGAGGAGGCTGTGAACGGATCAATGATGGTCTTGTGGGACCGAATTGAAGAAACCCACTGCCA